GGACTCTCCTCCCCACCAAAAGAAAAGTACTGGACTTCTATTCAGCCCTGCCTCCCCCTTGGCAAGGGGCTGGAAGACCCGCCCTGGGCAGCAGCTGGAGGAGGAAGAAAGAAGAAAGGAAGGAAGAGAGGAAGAAATAGAGAGAGAAAGAAACAAAGAAACCCAGCAAAGAAGGGAGAAAAAACGCCTGGAGAGAGTAAGTGCCTCCTTAGACTAAATTGGGTCTAAATTGGGGGGCTAAGGGAAAAGGTCAGAAGGGGGGGGGGTCTTGAACCAGATCCTTGTTTGGCTTTAAGCAGTGGACTCTGAGCTCTGCATTGGGTCATGTTGCTGCTGTAGTTGCTCTTATTTGAGTTCATTGTGTTTCTCTCCTTGCTATATATTTGTTGTGATCTCATCTCCAAACTCCCAGAACTCCTCTGGATATGTTTATTATGTTTCTTTAGATCTCATGTGCACACTTTTTGCTTTTTTCTCCTGCTCCCTTCCACTCTCTTTTCCAAACTGTTTCTCAACTCTGATTCAACTGTTTATTGAGATCCCTTTTTTTCCATTTCTGAATATTGTCTCCATTTTATTGAGTTGTTATTCTTTCTCTTTTGAGAAAGTTACATTTTGATATATGATTTCAAATGTGTTTAGCAGAGCCGCTCAGTTACTTCCTAAACTGTGTAAACAACATCAGATTGGCTAAGGTCCCTTCTACACAATTGTATAAAATCCAGATTATCTGCTCTAAACTGGATTATCTCTAGTGTAGACCCAGATAATCCAGTTCAAAGCAGATAATGTGGGTTATCTGCCTTGATATTTTGGATTATATGGCAGTGTATAAGGGTGTTCAATGTATTGTCGAAGGCTTTCATGGCTGGAATCACTAAGTTCTTGTGGGTTTTTTCGGGCTATATGGCCATGGTCTAGAGGCATTTTCTCCTGACGTTTCGCCTGCATCTATGGCAAGCATCCTCAGAGGTAGTGAGGTGAGGTGGGGATGCTTGCCATAGATGCAGGCGAAACGTCAGGAGAAATGCCTCTAGAACATGGCCATATAGCCCGAAAAAACCCACAAGAACTTAGTGTATAAGGGCCCTAAATGTTTTCCATTAGAAAAAACTGTTCCTATTATTATTGTTATTATTCGCTATCCTGGATGCCCAGTGTTGCTCATGATATTTCAAAAAGTCATTTTTTAATTGTACGAAAAGGTTGTGGGTCAACTACAATTCACATCATGCCAGGTTAATCCCGAAAAAATTCCATCAGTACTTAGAGTTTGTTATGTTAGGCAAGTTTGCTCTGGATGCATCATTGGTGAGGTTTAGCCTGCTCTCTGGTTGTATGGTAAACTACAGTTCCCACTATGTTGAGCCAGTCTCCTCAAACCCCTCCAGTAGATTGAGTTAGTCATGGGGGTTCTGTGTGCCAAGTTTGTAGGTGGACTATAAATCCCAGCAACTACAACTCCCAAATGTCGAGGTCTATTTTCCACAAACTCCACCAGTCTTCACATTTGGGCATATTGAGTATTCATGCCAAGTTTGGTCCAGATCCAACATTGATTGAGTCCACAGTGTTCTCTAGATGTAAGTGAACTACAACTCCAAAACTCCAGTTCAATGCCCACCAAATCCTTCCAGTATTTTCTCTTGGCCATGGGAGTTATGTATGCCAAGTTTGATTCAGTTCCATTGTTTGCGGAGTGCAGAATGCTCTTTGATTGTAGGTAAACTATAAATTCCAGCAACGACAACTCCCAAATGTCAAGGTCTATTTTCCACAAATTCCAGCAGTCTTCACGTTTGGGTGTATTGAGTATCTGTGCCAAGTTTGGTCCAGATGCATCATTGATTGAGTCCACAGTGCTCTCTGGATGTAGATGAACTACAACTCCCAAACTCAAGGTAAATGCCCATCAAACCCTTCCAGTATTTTCTGTTGGTCATGGGAGTTCTGTGTGCCAAGTCTGGTTCAATTCCATCGATGATGGAGTTCAGAATGCTCTTTGATTGTAGGTGAACTATAAATTCCAGCAATGACAACTCCCAAATGTCAATGTCTATCTTCCACAAATTCCAGCAGTCTTCACATTTGGGCGTATTGAGTATATGTGCCAAGTTTGGTCCAGATCTATCATTGTATTGTCGAAGGCTTTCATGGCTGGAATCACTAGGTTGTTGTGGGTTTTCCAGGCTATATGGCCATGTTCTAGAGGCATTTTCTCCTGACGTTTTGCCTGCATCTATGGCAAGCGACCTCACTACCTCTGAGGATGCTTGCCATAGATGCAGGCGAAACGTCAGGAGAAAATGCCTCTAGAACATGGCCATATAGCCCGGAAAACCTACCACAACCCAGATCTATCATTGTTTGAGTCCACAGTGCTCTCTGGATGTAGGTGAACTACAACTCCAAAACTCAAGGTCAATGCCCACCAAACCCTTCCAGTATTTTTTGTTCGTCATGGGAGTTCTGTGTGCCAAGTCTGGTTGAATTCCATCTTTGATGGAGTTCGGAATGCTCTTGTAGGTGAACTATGAATCCCAGGAACTACAACTCCCAAATGACAAAATCTAAACTTCCCGCAAACCCCACCAGGATTCAGACGTTGGGTGTATCGGGTATTTGTGCCAAATTTGGTGAATGAAAATACATCCTGCATATCAGATATTTACATTGTGATTCATAACAGTAGCAAAATTAGTTACGAAGTAGCAACAAAAATAATGTGATGTTTGGGGGTCACCACAACATATGGGGAACTGTATGAAGGGGTCGCGGGATTAGGAAGGTTGGGAAACACCGGTCTAGCCATTCATCCTGTTTCTCACTGTGGCCATCCATCCACCAACAGGAAGGTCATGAGCCAGATGTGGGCATAACATCCCTTTCCTTTTGTTTTCCAGCCATTGTGGGTATGGCCTCCAATCTTGGAATTAGCATATAGTCACGGAGAGCCTTCATCCTGCATGAGTTTGTCTGATTGGCATTTGAAACCTTATTAGCCCGTTGCTATGCAAGGATATGCAGTTAGCTTTCCATATTTATGAGTTTAGCCTTTTGCAGATTTGATTGTTTGGGATGGGTCTGCAGTGTAGTATTAATGTAGCTCGACACCACTTTAACTGCCATGGCGCAATGCTATACAATCATGGGATTTGTAGTCTTTAGTCTTCCAAAGAGTCCTGCCCAATCTATATAAATAAAAATGTAATGTTCGTTTGTGGGATTAATGTAACTCAAAAAACACTGGATGAATTGACACCAAATTTGGACACAAGACACCTAACAACCCAATGTATGTCCTTCACTCAAAAAATTGATTTTGTCATTAGGGAGTTGTAGTTGCTGGGATTTATAGTTCACCTACAATCAAAGAGCACTCTGAACCCCACCAATGATGGAATTGAACCAAACACAGTTCTCCCATGTCCAACAGAAAATACTGGAAGGGTTTGGTGGGCAGTGTCCTTTGGTTTTGGAGTTGTAGTTCACCTACATCCAGAGATTGTGGACTCAAACAATGATGGATCTGGACCAAACTCTACACAAATACTCAATATGCCCAAATGTGAACACTGGTGGAGTTTGGGGAAAATAGAATCTTGACATTTGGGAGTTGTAGTTGCTGGGATTTATAGTTCACCTACAATCACAGAGCATTCTGAACCCCACCAATAGAATTGGGCCAAACCTCCCATACAGAACCCTCATGTGGGCCACAGCAATGCATGGCAGGGGACGGCTAGTCTATATAAATAAAAATGTAATGTTCATTTGTGAGATTGACATAATTCTAAAACCACTGGACGAATTGACACCAAATTTGGACACAAAACACCTGTCAGGCCACCAAGTGACCATCACTCTTAAAAACACTGAAAAACACAACGGAAGAGTAACTGCGCTCCATGCAGTCATGCCAGCCACATGAACTTGGAGGTGTATACGGACAACGCTGGCTCTTCAGATTAGAAATGGAGATGAGCACCAACTCCCAGAGTCGGACACGAGTGGACTTAATGTCAGGGGAAAACATTTACCTTTACCTATACAATGTACATATGGAGTTCCCAGTGGTGCAGTGGGTTAAACCACTGAGCTGTTGAACTTGCTGACCAAAAGGTCAGCAGTTTGAATCCGGGGAGGGGGTGAGCTCCCACTGTTAGCCCCAGCTTCTGCCAATTTAACAGTTTGAAAACATGCAAATGTGGGTAGATCAATAGGTACCGCTTCGGCGGGAAGGTATCAGTGCTCCATGCAGTCAAGCTAGCTACATGTCCTTGGAGGTGTCTATGGACAACACTGTCTCTGCGGCTTAGAAATGGAGATGAGCACCACGTCCCAGAGTAGGACACGACTGGACTTAATGTCAGAGGAAAATCTTTACCTTTGGCTAAATATGGTGTTATGAAATGCTGTATTTAGTCGTGTCTGATGCACCACTGAATCTCCCTCCCCAAGGTACAGCTCCCTTGATTCCATAGTATTGATTCCATAGTATTGATCAGTTGTGGTGGCATTAAACTGCATTCATTCTGCAGTGTAGATGCACTCCATAATTCTCATAAATACACAGAGGTGTCTGGAAGTAGGACTTAAAGATCAAAGTTTTTGAGTAGACTTCTGAGAGGATGTAGCTCGAGGAGCATCTGATTTGGAATTAGTCATCCACCCAAAACAATGATGTAAACACTTTGGTTCCTTTTCCTGGGAACCGGGTAGAACTTGGCCGTAACCCTACAAACACAAATGGTGGATCTTTTAAAGGCTCAAAGAACCACAGAAAAATCCCCCAAATGAGATGCCATTGACCTAGAGCAACTGATCCCAAACCAGAAACCAACCAAAGGAAGAAGAGAGGAAGAAGTAAATTCCCAATTTGCTTAGGCCAGCGATGCTACGAGATGAGTGTATAAATGTTTCCTGTCTAAAGAGCGTCTGGGTTTGCGTCGCCACCCACTCGCCTTGTGATTAGTTCTGCAAAGTGGAAGGCATCTTGTACAGATCTAACACATGGTTGGCCAAGTTGGGAAAATATCGGTCCTGGGAAAGGAGATGGAAAACACAAAGAACAAGAAATGAATCAATTAATTAACAACATTGAATGTTTGCCATATATGTGCACCGTAATTCGCCCTGAGTCCCCTCGGGGAGATAGGGCGGAATATAAATAAAGTGTATTATTATTATTGTTGT